ACGGTTGCCCAGTCAGCGGTCGCAGCAGCTGCTGCTGCACAAGAAGCACCACCACCACCTCCCCCGCTTCGCGTCGACAGCCCCGTATCCGTCATCGAGCCCCTGCCCCCCTTGCAATCAGAACAGACGCGGAAAGATCCGGCCGTCAGGGCTCGTGCCCAGTTCAATTGTGCGTGCGCAGCAGCCTAATCTGTTGAGTGTTGCAGCGGCCGCTCGCTAACCTTACCCCCGCGGCCCCAGACTTCCCCGTGCGGGCGGACGGCGACCAGGATGACGCCGACGAGATCGCGTTCACCAAAGGAGAGGAGCTCGAGATCCTGGACCGGGAAGGCAGGTGGTGGATGGCGCGGAAGCACGACGGGACAACAGGCAGTGAGTCGCGGCGTTTGTTTATGGTGTGGCTTTTGTTGACTTACCGCGGTCAGTCGTGAGGGCTGACTATTTCACTATCGTGGCTGGATGAGATGGAAGATCGAGTGCTTTAGTATACTATCGTTATTATGTATTGGGACTGTTGTGGCCATTGCTGTATAGTTCAGGACAGTAGCGAATCCATGGTGGCAATCAGCCGATTCGTTGTTCAGATCAAGACACATGTTACATGCAAGTGATCTACGGTTATATACAGAACGGAAGTGATGCAGCGACCGTGTCGGAAAGTAGTTGGCCTGGCCGGCGGGACTTGCCCAGGGTTTGTTCGATTATCCCATGGGAGACGCGTCCTGCAGCATGGGATGCCTTTTTCCGCTCCGGAGTAGCGCTTGCACAAGCAGTTGATGTCACCGCACAGAATCAATTCGAGATCCTCCTATCTACGAAGCGCCATGAGAAACAGTGAAAACCCTTAAGTACCAAATACTGCATTTATACATGAGCGGGAACCATATACAAAATGAAGGCCGGTCTATCACGTCACATGATTTGACAATGAAATGCCATGATGGACCGGCCTTCATTTTGTATATGGTTCCTGCTCATGCATAAATGCAGTATTTGGTACTTAAGGGTTTTCAAATGCTAGCTACAAATTCCGGAGGATACCGGGGGCAAATTCAAAGGAGGGAAGGAGAGATCAGCCATTTCCCGTTGCGTTGTGCTTTTCCCGTAGCGTTGGCATCAATAGTAGTCCTCTCGATGCAGGGTCGGGGATTCGGGAACAGGTGTGTCGTAGCGCACGGATTCCGAAAAGTCGCCGGATCAGGTAAAAGGACACATGGATCAATTAAGCGTCGCCGATCATGCTGGCTGTTGCACGTGATAAATGTAAGTGTTTCACACGAAGCCATGCACTGTTTGGTAAATTCATCAGACTGGCGGAAGAACCCAAGTGTTGAATTTACGCGGTAGCAAGGATCTTCGAGGCGAGCAGTGACCTGGCCCGGTCAGGCCGCGGGAGCCTGGGACGTGCTGGAGCCGCCGCCGGCGAACCTAACACCAAGATCTCTGGACTCGGATGCATCCCTCTGCGCATCTGAGTGACCCACGTCCCACTCGGCATATGCATGAGATGCTCACACGGCTTGAAGAGGCTCCAGGGTCACCGCTCCACGCCGCCAATTTGCAGCTGATCCGAGGAAGCGTCGAAGAAGTGGCGGCGAGGCACGCGCCACGAGCCCGGCGCACAGGGTCCTGCCGCATCTGGACCTGCGCGCTGCCATAATGGATTGATCTTTTCGTCCTTCCTTCTATCTGTGTGAAGGGAAGGATCTGGTGCGAAAGGGCTGCAAGAATCTGTCGGGACGAGATTTCCTCCGTTGATGGTGATTATCAATTATCAATAATGGAGCTGATCCGTGGGGCTGCTGAAGTGCTTACATGGATTAATTACAAGCAAGAAGTACAAGCGGATTAGATAGCAATATATCGATAAATTTACAGCGACGGTTTCGCTCGGCTATTTTCGGATTTTCAAACCAGCTTGAGATGGAGCGGCAATACGGAGCCCTTGCCATTCACCACGGGCTGCAGAGTCGGCGAGATCTTGCGGTCCACGTGGACCCCCGTGTCAACGAAGACGATAGATCGAACGAGAGTGAGGAGAATTATCTTCAGCTCCAATACAGCTGCCAAGACGGTGAATTTTGTGTCGGCGGACGAACATGAACCTCCGCAACGCACCCAATCGCCACCCAACACAATTCCTCGGCCCATCGCAGAACGACAGCAGCCCATTCCAACCATGCGGCCGGTTGAACGCCGGGTCTCTCGGCGGCGCGAGCCAGCGGGAGGGATCGAATAGATCCGCAGTCGGGCCCCAGATGCGCGGGTTGGTGTGCATCGCGAGGAAGGGGATGCGCAGAATCTGGCCTTTTTTGACGCGCAGACCGGCGCCGATGTGCGGCAGCGGCGTGGAGAGGGGAATGAAATCATCGTCACGTGCGACACGTTCAGTTTGTGGAGACGCCGGGTGCAAGCGCAGGCTTCAGAGGAAGAGGTTTCAGCTTGGAATGCGACGGTATTGGGTACTAGCCACTCACCCCTCTTTAACAACTGCGTCAAGATACTCCAATTTTTGTATATCCTCGTACGGAAGATCTCGCTCGTGGCTGGCTATCTCAGCCCGCAATCGTTCCTGCCAGCGATATGTAACTGTGAAAAATTCACACAGAGAAATATCAAGTCCGACGCACCTGGACCAAGGGCTGCCGGGCCAACTCCAGTAGGATAAAGGACAGCGTTCCCGCCGTGGTCTCGTGACCGACCATGCTAGAAACCCGCTGATCAGCGGGGAACGTTCCACGCGCATCAGCGCGCGAATTAGACTCACATGAAAGTCGAGATCTGGAAGACAATAATTCAGCGGGAGTTCGAGACCTGGAATCAGAGGAACCCGTCCGTACGTTGTCCAATATTTGCTCATCCGACAGCCTGTTCCCCAACTTCTTGCGTTCGCGAAGCAAGATAGTCAGAATATCCTTCGGACGTTCTTTAGGCATTTCATCCAAGGAATAGGACGACTCCCGGTCCAGAATCTGCTGGCCGATCTCCCGCACGATCGTCTTGATGACGCCCTGAGTCTGCATCAACGGCAGCGGGAGACTTGTCACGGCGGGCAAGGCTCTGAGCACTGTCTGCGCCACGAAAGCCGGGAATGTGATGCCCGTGTCGACGTGATTTACCCAGGACGATCGGATTTGCTCTGCGTCGGAGGAAGCACTGGCACTCTCGTCGAGCGTCTGCGAGTCGAACGCGTAAGAGAGGGCCACTGTGCCGATGATATCGAGTCTGTTCGAGGGTTAGAGTTCAGCGTCGAAGCGACCGCCAAGTGGGTCCAAGAAACTTACGTGCAGTCGCTGATATAGTGCAGAATATTCACCGTCGTCGAGGCCTCGCCCAGAACCAGGTTGACCAGCCGACTCTCGAGTCGTTCCGCGCAACCGTGGATGGCCGCAGTCATCTCTCGCACAGAGTCTGCCCTGAAAACGATGGGGTTCTCAGAGACAATCGAACTTACACAATGGGCACTTACGAGAACGCGGGGCCCAAAACTCTACGCTGCTGATGCCAGTCGTCTCCCTCCGCCCAGACGAGGCCCTCGCCGATCACATTCCTGATCGGAGGCCGGAACGCCGGGGACTTGACGTACCGCGCGCTGTGCGCGAAGATGTGCTGCACGGCTGCGTGATCGGTCACAATGAGCTGTTGAAAAAAAAAAAAACGATAAACGGAACAAAATCCAGGTGGGTTCGCGGGGGACGCACGATGTCGCGATGGAACAGGGCTGCCCGGATCTTGTACAGGCCTCCGAACTCGCGCGCCCAGATCGCGTACATCTGGACGGCCGAGTGTGCGAACACCAGAAGCTCGTGCCCCCAAATCCAGCTGGCAAAGCTCGCGGACTCCGTCGAAGATCGCATAAGCTCGCGGGCACGGACACGGCTGGATCGCGAAACTCACAGGCCCAGGCACGCGGTCCACGTCGTCGTCGTCGTACTTCCCGCCCAGACGCCCCCTCGCCCAGCGCAACAGAGTGAGACACAGACCGAGCGATAGCGCGCACCAGCCCAGGAGGACGAGGAGGGGGGGACTCATAGCACCCGGAATGCGGGGGATCCGTGTAGCAGCGAGAAATATATAGAGCGAAGCAGGTCGAATATGCCCGGAAGCATAATCCGAGCGAAGAACGTTATTAGTGTATGGATTGGCACTGAACAGAATTATGGGGGTAATTGACAGACGGATGATTGCGCGCACTTCTTTTTTGATCCATCCCGGCCTGGCAACCCGAAGGCGGCGCGGGGAGAGGGGACGGACGAGCTAGTCGAGCGAGAGAGACAGCAATTTTGGCCCGGCCCCCGAGGAAGCAAGTAGGCTTCAAGTTGCCAAGGACTCGAGTGTGCGATCTAAACCCAGTACGCATCAAGTGCGAGGCCACGGGACAGAGGGCCGCCGTGGGGCCAATGTGTTTCGGAGTTGGGGGGTCAACACCGAGGGCACAAGCAGGCGGGTGTGCTATGCGTAGCATTTGACAGCCGTCAGCGGCGGCGAGGGCTACCCGGATGGTCCTCTGGGAACTGAGCAAGACGGTAGACCTTGCCGACGTTCGTTGTCCGTGGGAATCCCTAATTCCGACTCCGACAAGTGCAAGCGGGACAGCAAGACTCCAACGCGCCAGACTCCGGTTCTATTGAATCCGGCCGCCTCAGTCTGCGAGCTCCATAACTTACGTTACAACTGCGTGGGGCAACGGTCGACCCATTATCAGCTTATGTAACGATCACATCAGAGAGAGATAATCCACCCATCAGTGTCATGGCAAACCTTGAAGTACCCAATTACTTTGAGTCGATATCTGGTTCGCAGGACTGCCTAGCACGGTGTAAGACATCTTTATACGACGATGCGACTGACAGCCAGCCGTAATGCATCATGCTCTGTACGGAGGAGATAAGTACCATGCATCGCTTGACACTTACGCAACCTTTCACGGTCGCTCACGGGCGGGCCGAACCGTGTGCTTCAGAACATTCCGAGAGATGCCTCCCACTCCTACCTTCTTCTCCAAATCTCTACAGAAGTCGTCTCTAAGCGCACTCACGTCAAGCTGTATCCATGCTTCATCCGGGACGTACTTGCAAGCGATGTTTGTCTTGTGGCTAAGCCCATGTGGAACGACCAATTGCGTGCAGACGGCAAATCCGTTTGCACTGTCACAATAAAATACAAGGACATGAGGCCAGGGAAGCGGACGAGCAACTCCTCCCTTTTTTCATTCCCTACCTCCTTCGCTCCCTGCACTCCTCCTCCTCCTCCTCGCCATCATGCCCGACTGGAACTCGCCGGCTGAGATCGCTCTGGACTCCACTATATTCGTAAAGCTGATGCACACCTTGCTCGGCCTCTACACGTACGGTGCCGCCGCCACTGCTTGGCTCGACAGGAGCTGACAACCGACGCAGCTGGGAGTGGTTCACCTCGCTTCCGTTCGACTGGGAGGTCCTCACCGGTCGGAAACGGTTCAGATGGCCGCTGGTGCGTCCCGCTCTCTCGTCTAGTCCCCATCCCGGGTACCGCGGACTGAACACCTTTTTTTTAGATCTTCTACTTTGCCAACCGATATCTGCTACTTGCAGCCCTGATCGGCATGTGCGTCTTGCATCGCCGCTCTATTCATGCGACCAGAATTCTGACAACATACCCCCATTCCGCTTAGCATCATCGCCTTCGACACCACAAAGTCAGTCGCGTCTCGCCTATTCGGGGGTGTTCTGTTCTCTGAAGAACGATCGACGCTAGAGAAATTAACTGCCAAGCACTCTTTACCTTCAACCAGGTCGCGGGAGATGCAGCCGTCGGATTGGCCAGCATCAATCTGTCGCTGCGCACGCTCGCAATCTGGTCGCAGAACCGCTGGATCATGATCCTCCTCGTCCTCATTATCCTGGGACACTGGAGTCTCATCCTGCAGGGTAAGTGGCGTGACATGACGTCTCGATGGCTCCGTGACCCGTCGCGTTTCATTCCAGGTGTCCTGCTCAACGCAGTCTGGGTGCCCTCGCTCAACACCTGCGCGATCACCAAGACCAACAGCACCATCCTCGCTGCCACATTCACTTACTCGATGGCGTTCGACCTCGTCGTCTTCCTGCTCAACGCGTACAAGCTGGGCATCCGCCGCCAAGGGACGAGCCGGCTCACGAAGATGATCTTCAAGGACGGGCTCATCTTCTTCTTCATCGCGTGCGTTTGTCGCACCGTGTGCGCCGCAAAACACAAACTGACACCGCGGCGCCTGTCGCCCCCTTCCAGCTTCCTCGCGAATCTCGTCGCGACAGTCTTCATGATTCTGAACCTGAATTCCATCATGAGTGTCGTCTTCAATGTTCCCGCGGCCGTCGCCTCGACCGTGCGTGCATTTTATGCGTATCGATCAGTCCGCGTACAATCTTGGACCTTTTTCCCCGCAGATCGTCGCCACCCGCGCTGTGCGGAGACTGACCAACTTTACGAACCAAGGACCTGAGATGTAGTAAGTGATCGATCCCTGCTTCCCCTTCAAACAAACTCGCGCTCGTGGTCTCTTTTTCTGACCCTGTCTGTCTGTCTCTTTAACAGCCAACCTTCCGGGTCGTCGAACTTCAGAAGTCACAGCGGCGCACGTGCTCTCACATCCGCAGGTGGGAAAACGACGAACAACGGCATCGGCGGCGTACATGTGCAGGTGGGTGATTCAACAAAGGGGTCCGGCGTCTTGATCGATCCCCGAGGCAGATGGAGATCATCACTAGAGCAGAGGAGGGCAATGTCAAAAATCCCAATGTGGATTATATCCAGGATATGGGCCGTGAGACGGAGTACGAGCTCGAGGGCAAGGGCGCCGCCATCTAGCAGACTTTCTTTCGTTGGTGTTACAATATGTACTTAGTATTGGACTAGGCACGGATGAAAAAACAACTTGTGCAATAGAGCTCAGTGTGATTGCGACCCCATTTGAGTAGTATTTTTATCACACTTGTGCGAAGAATGAAAAAAGGTCCCGACAGTGATTGCGCATGAAAATTAGAAGGTGCTTCAATTAAACTTTAAGCTCTGATCAAAATGAGCGACGTAGGGGTCGAACCTACAATCTCCTGATAACAAAGTCAGACTCGTAGTCAGACGCGATGCCATTTCGCCAGTCACCCATGTCGAGCGAATACTGCGTACAATTCAGTATCTCGGAAGAAACACTGGTTCGTCTGCCAACCGCATTCGACTTGAACATCGCTTGGCATCCTCCAACTCCCGATGCCACAGTCCTGCCACGAAGATCACCACTTCTCGCACACAAGCCTTGACTGACCGTCACGCCTCTCTGCGCCCCGGCCAGCTTCCGATCATCTCCGACCAAGGGCTGCGTGGCACGCAAAGAACATAACGACACCTCAGAAGGCGCAGTGTTCGGAAGCAGAGCAGCCGACTCAGGGCATTCATCACCACAAGGTAGGTGGCATCACATCAGCATCTGCTTCTCCCGAGCAACGCCGGCCCCGGTCATCGTTATTAAATTGATCGCCTGCCCGAGGCCGCGAGCGCGCCAATCACTGCCGTTTCGGTTCGTCGACATTGCGCGAATCCGGTCGGAGTCAAGATGAACAGCCAATTCATTTACAACGGTATCGGGAATTACAGGTACAGTAGGAGTTACAAACGCTCGTTTACTTTTTTCGAGTTCAACTGTCAAGTGAGTACATGATGGATGATGCTTCGTATGTATATTCAGGGATGCAAGGGAGAGAGCGGCTGGATGGAAGGTGTCTTCGAGCGCGCGCGCGATGTGTATCTTGTATCTGATGGATGATGGGCCAGTGACAACCGGGGAGAGGGGGGAGGGAAGAGAAGGTGTCTGAATGAAGGGATGCCTGTGCAAGTCCAGGCAGCGAGCTGACCAGGCGCCATGACGGCGGGCAGGGGAACTAGTATGGCGGATGCTTGAACTCTTCCGTGACATCTATCTGCTGCTGCTGGGACTCGGCATCGCCCAGCACCTCAGTGCGCGTGATCTTCCCGTTCGAGTCGTATTCGAGGAATCCACGCTCAGAGATGGGGCTCTCGAACGTCTCCATCTGCGTAAAGGCAGGCCTCCCCGGTCAGAGCGCGTCATGTAAAGAGAGGAGGGGCAGCACGTACCTGGACATGGACACCCTCTGACAGTTTCGCGTTGGTAATCACTTTCGGCCGATGCACGGTGCCCTGGCTTAGCGTGTTGCGGAAGTTGAGCGTCGAACTCGCTGTCGTAGCCCCTCCGCCGAACATCTGGGCTCCACTCGTCGCAGATCCATAGTTCGTCAGCCGGCGCACGGCACGGCAGGCGACAATCTATGGCAGATGCTTCAGCCACAAGTCGCCCCAAGCCAGGGTCGAGAGCACTCACCGTGGACGCGATAGCAGTAGGCACATTCGCGATAATGGACATCACCGCGTTCAGGTTGAGAAGCATGAAGATCTAGGCGCCGTTCGTTAGCCTCAAAGAATCCAGCCGCCCGTCAGCGCAGACGCACCGTAGCGAGCAAGTTGGACATGAACCTGCGGACCGGTGAGCCTAGAATATCGAGCCAGAGCCCGCCACTTACGCAATGACGAAATAAATCAGGCCGTCATTGAAGATGAGCGTGACCAGACGCGACTTGCCGCCCGTGGGGAACACGAGCTTCCACGCCGTAAGGGAGAGCACCGTGAAGTCAAAGACCATCGAGTACATGAAGGTGATCGCGAGCAGGTGGTTGTTTGTCGACGTAATCGAGCAGCCCACGCCGGGAATCCACTGCGCCTTCAGGAGGATTCCTGTCGAATGCGTGTCAGATAGGCGCAGGCAGATGCGCGAAGGGAGGCGTAGCAATGTACCGTGGAGAAGAAGAGACCAATGGCCGAGGATAATAGCAGTGAGCGGAACGACGATGTACCATCGCTGGTTCCAGACAGCAATTCTGGAGAGAGGCGTTGAGCAAATAGTCTTCGGGGGTGCTAGGGTCGCCTTACGTTCTCAAGGAGAGGTTGATGCTCGCCAAACCTGGCGGACACAAGATGAGAAGACACGCTCCGCGTCGGAAGGAAAACACGCTCACCGATAGCAGCATTCCCAAAGCACTGATTGAACGTGTACAGGCCTTGGCAGTTGATCTCCGTCGTGACATTGAGCGAGATGGCGCTGCGCAAGACGCGTTCAGAATCGCTCAGAGCCCAGCACGGCGCGCCGCCACTCACATCCCAATCAACGCGAAGAGCAAGCAGTAGCGATTGAGAAAGTAGAATATCTGGGCCTCGCGTAAGGGGCGGGGGTAGATCGGATGGGAAGCTACGCACCATCGGCCAGCGGAACTGTTTCTTGCCCGAGATGAACTCCCAGTCGAAGGGAAGAGACGTGAACCATTCCCATCTGCAGCGGAACATCGGCGTCGATAGGGCGCTCGGGGCGAGATGCGGAACGTAGAAGACGCGTACATGTAAAGGCCAAGCAGGGTATGCATGAATTTGTTGAAGACGACTAAGCGCGGAACACCGCATCAGAGCGGCCAAGTGGGGATACGGGGTCAGCGGACACGCACAGAGATCCTTGGCGAGCTCATTGGCGGAGTGCCAGTCGACCATGATTCAAGACGGGAGGGGGAGGGGAGAAGCGGCGGGCGGGTTGAGGCGTCGAGGAGCGAGCGAGCGAAGAGAAAGGAGGGACGCAGAATGACCGAGGCACCGAATGAGCTTTTGAAAGCCCCTTCGATGGCATGTTCTTCCTGGGAACTGGTCAGCTGTCAAGCATCAGAACCACATTCTCGGCGGCGCTGGAAAAGGCTGTCTAGATTCCCAGCAGTTATTGCCACTTGCTATGCGCCATTTGCAGAATAGTTGGGAATCCCTTCCCTTCCCTGTTGGTCGCTTGAGAATCTAAGCGAGGTGATGTTCTGATTCAGACTCTTCTTTCTCAGCTGGGCCCTCACACTCACACTCCAATAAACAAACAGGAATAACTCGCCGCGGGGGGATCAGAACACGAAGACGCCTGCTCAAGCGGAATAGCCCCGAGTTCAACTTCTCCTCCACAGTTGTCGGAGATCAGCACGGGCCGTCATATACTCCAAGGCTGCATCCAGTCCAACAAGATTAGGTGACACGAGAGCCTGATTCCTGTCATTCTCATGATATCGAGTATGGATATATGTAATACTGCAGCTGCCCGCTGTCGATGGGAGGGATGTTCAGATCAGCCTCCCCGCTCCATCCCAAGTGGGACGAGAGATCCTCCGTGTCAACTTGTCCCGACAGAGGACACGCGGACGATTTGATGTTGATGACTTCCGTTTCAGGGTCCCCGTCTTCGGGCCTCGACCGCATTCTTATCGAGCAGAGACGCGATGGATGGCGGCTCAGGCCATGTCGGGGCACTGTGCGCTTCCGCGCATTCGAGGCGAGAATGGTGTTGTTGTTGCGTTTGACGATTGCAGGGCGCGTGAAACTTCAAGAACAAGATCCAGCCCTGTCCACTCACGACGCATTCATTAGCTGTACTCAGTCGCAGGGTGTGTCGTATGCGAAGCTCCAATCATCAAGAAGAACCTCTCGCGCATGCTGCGAATGGGCCCGCTCCATACCGTTGACCATAGAGGACATGGTCTGTAGCCGAGATCACGATCATCTTGTGCTCGGGGTCCTGGCACTCCGTGACTCTGTGGCTCATAAAGGCTTACTAGAACAGTCCGTAATGACTTATACACAGGTAGTCAGTTCTTGCTGTCGGCCTTGACGCGCTCCTGATCGGCGGCAACAGGGGCGCCGTGCGTCGGGATTTGTTTCCCCAGTGAATCTTGTAGTGCTTTAGTTTCCTTTATGAATACTTAATAGCAGAGACTTGAGTCTCCTGAGAGGCAGTCACGTGTTGAAAAACTGTTGCAAGCGCCGCCTTGCAACAGCAATAGCACAGCTATGCCAGTGGACTTTGTCGAGGACGCACTCCCCTCGACGCCGTGATGTAAATTGAATTCGACAATTCTTCTTTGGCCTGCACTCTTATTGCGTTTCTTACCTCTCTCTCTCTGCACACTCTCGAGATCAACGTGTCACAGCGGCGCGGACTGTGAAGCGCAGGCATCAAATATTTGCCAGACCATGTCCTTGTGTACAAAAGCATCGATCGTTCACATTCATGTACATTTTGAAGTACGCAGCTTCATTTTGAAGATACAAGTGTCAAATATTATATGCGTATCTCATGTGCTTGGATCATCCCTTCCCAAAGTATTTGGCTGAGATTGCGCGTCGCGTTGATGAGGGTTTAACATGTGACAGCAAAGAGTATTTCGTGTTCATAATGACGACTGATAGTCGGTCTGGGCCGAGTCACACTGTGACATGTCCATCACTGGGACCCCAAGCATCGGATCATGTTCGCACATACCATATTAGTCCATGTCCTCTATGGGAAACCCTACGCTCCAACATCCCCCGCTACGCTACGCAAGCTACAGAACGGGCTGCAAGACATGGAAGACAGCGGCTGTAGTCGGTCGTCAAGTCTGCCGTTGAATCAGGAAGCTGGAGAACCCTCTGTCTGGGAGCCGATCGGAGCCACACTGAGAACCTGATGGATGCCCTCTTCCTCGGTCTGAAGGGGGGAGGCCGCCAAACAGGCTATTTCGGGCGAGCGCTTCTCATTCGCCGACGGAGCTGCGGCCTTGATCGACCCTCATGTGCTAACTCACATATGTCCGACGCGCAGATGAGTTTCTTACGAGCGAGTGTCATCTTGCCTTCCCAAGGCTCGAGTCTCACACGACTCCATGATGGTGGCGGTGCAGTAGGTCTAGATTTTTCCACAGCCCCTGCACATGATCCGAGGACTTCCCACGGTTGACAAAAATACAACATAGCACGACAGAACACAAGAAATACACATTGGCAAGGCATCCACCGCCCGCCGTTTAGGCCTCCTTCGAGTGCATCCGCGACATCTCAAATCCGTGGTGCGGCGTGACTGTCCCGCTCTCCAGATCGCGCGGAGTCACCGCGCCGCTGGCAACGCCCCTCAGCGTCGCCTTCGCGAGCTTCCTGACGCGCTCCTCCTGGATCGCCTTCTGCTTGAGCGCCTCGTCGTCCCCGCGCGTCAGCTCCTTGTGCTTGATCAGCACGACGCTGACGAATGTCGCAGACACCGTCAGCGCGACGTGCATGATGAACAGCGAGTTGAAGCCCTTGATGTATCCGTGCGCGAGGATCTCCGCAGCGGCATCCGCGGACAGGTTTATAGACTCGGGCGAGTGCAGCAGCGCGGGGTTGTCGATGATCTGGGTCATGATTGCGGGCGCGATGTGCAGCGAGTTCATCGATGTCTGCAGCGAATTGTTCACTATCGTCGAGGCGACTGCCAGCGACAGAGTACCGCCCAGCAGCCGCAGGAACTGGACATCAGAGCGTGAGTACCAAGAAAAAAAAGCACATCGTGGGACCGAATGAAGCATGCGTGCGCACATTACGCATCACGGTCACGACAGACATGTCCCGTCTCGGCACGCTGGCCTGAGCTGCCACCGTCGTCGTTTCTGTACAGCCCGAGATCAGCACGGCAATATGCTTGCAGACCAGATACCCGTCGGCTCACGCATAGTCTGCAGGTACGTAACGTCAGCACCGGGTTCTCGGATGTCAGTCTGTGTCCGGACTTACACCTCCGCCTCCGATACCAGCCAGCATCATGAGGACCACCAGCTCCGCCTTGGACGTCCGGGCGTTGACGGTCGATAGAACACCACACGCTACGGACCAGATCGAAAAGCCAGCGTAGATGATAGCCTGTGTCATGTAAGCGATCGGCTCAATTCAAGCTGCTGCAGAGCGCCGACTTACTCTGTAACGGCCAGTCCGGCTTACAATGACGCCCTAGAAGACCATAAACTGGAATTTTCACAGGAAAGTAAAAGAATGGCAACGAACCGCTCCCCAGCTGCCCATAATCAGCGTCACCAGCATCGGTACGAGGAATATGCCTGCACAATCGCCGACGCACAATTCAGAATCCAGAACAATTGCAGAGGGGAAATAACGAACCAGATTTCAAGGGACTAAAGCCCAGAGCTGCTTGGAAGAACTGCGGAAGGTAGTACAACGACGAGAAGAACACAAAACCGCTGCAATCGGATTAATTATCGGTCTGAAAAACGGCCCAGGGTCTGCTGCGCATCGCTCACTTGACAAACATGGCGATCAGCACCCCCGTCACCGTAGAATGCTTGAATATATGCACTAGCGGAGTCACTATCTTCCCGCTACACAAACCGGACGACGCACTGGGGACGATGGGCAGCCGCGCGCCCTTCCACTCCCAGAAGCAGAACAGTCCGACGACGACGAAGCCGGAGACGAGCGGCGCGAGCACCACGGAAGACGTCCACGGGAAGATAACGCCGCCCTGTTGGCTGGGAGTTCGATACAGAAGCTCACGAAGAACGGCGCGGAATTCGCACCCAGATTAGCGGCAGCATGAGCAGGGCGCACCCCGCCAAGGTCAGGATCGTCCCGATGTAGTCTATCGCCAGCAGTTTCCTGGTTCAGCAGCCCGGGTCAGTCGGCGGGGTAGGTATTGGCAGCGCGGCCACGCACTGGCGGATGTCGCCGCGGACGGCTTTCAGCGGCAGCACGAAGACGACGACGCACGTCGCCACGAAGGAGATGGGGATCGTAATCCACATACACCACTGCCAAGTGTCTGGACGGCCATCGGATATATCAACACAGCAGCACTCACCCGCCAACCCACATGCTGGGCAAGAGCACCGCCAACCACAGGCCCAATCGCATATCCGACCGCCACAACTGATCACGCGCTGTGAGCAAGAGAGGAAGCATCTCCACCGACTCCAATGAACCGCACCTGCTCCAATTATACCCTGGTATTTTCCTCTGTGTTCAAATGAGCAGCTGACAAGAAACGAGTCACAGATCTGCAAACACCTCTCGCGCAGACTGACGAGATCGGACACGACGATCTGCATCATGCTGATAAGACCTCCACCCCCCGCACCCGCAAACCTATTTCCAAAACGCAATCAATGCTTCTGGCATGCAACAGGGACCAGGCCCCACAGACGCACCCTCTAAACACGATCAGCTGCACGATGGTCTTGGAGAAGCCCGCGAGGAGGTTGCCAAACATGAACAGCGCCATGGCGAGGCACAGCGCGCTCTTGCGCCCAAAGATGTCCGAAAACCGACCGTACAGCGGCTGGAAACACGTCGACGTGAGCAGATACGCGGACGGCACCTGTCAGCCCATCAGCTCAGCCCAGCCCAGCCCAGCTCAAAAACCCAACGACGCACCCACGAGACGACGGACCCCGCATCGAAGGCGGCGGAGATCGTCGGCAGCGCGGTGGCGACGATCACCGAGTCGAGCGTCGACACGACCACGCACAGCGCGAGCCCGAGGAAGACGGGCAGCAGCTTCCTGAACGGCAGCCTGTTCGTCTGGTCCGTCAGCTCGATGATCGTCTCCGGCGGCTTTCCGTCTGCAGGAGGCAGCCCTTCGGCGGCGGTGGTGGTAAGTATCGACTCGGTGCGGTCGGCGTCGACGGCCGGCGCGTGATCGCTGGAGGCGCTGGAGGAGGCGCGTGTGTCGGACATGGTCGCAGAGAGATTACAGTATCTCAACGTGCGAGGTGCGTGAGTAAGTGAGCACGCACGACCCCACAGCTATCATTTATTTATACACAGACGGCCCTGTGGTCGCGGAACCGGCAGAACGATTACTCGTTGGGTGGCCCCCCTCCCGCCCTGCGCATTAGGTAAGCTCCCGACCTTTCGAAGCGGAGATGAATGCCTCGTTGCGCGGGCCCGGTGGAGCCCAGTGAAAACTCGTGGATCGAGTCTAGATGCCAAGGCACCCCCCAAGCACAGCTGTGCGTGCTAAAAGGTGCGCACGGTGGCCCAATTAGTCAAGCCCACCGGCGTTTCGGCGTCGGACCCATCGGATCCCGGCGATGGCAGTGACATCAGCGGTGTATCTGGGGTGCTTGCGTGCAACTGCCAAGGATAAGATAACACGAATGTATAGAAAGGGACATGTGGCACCTGCGCTACTGAAAACGATAAAATCCGCTCAAGCCGCCAGATTGTGCAGCTCCCCGACCAACCGGGCCTTGGCTGGGGCAGATTTCCTTCCTTCAAGAAGGCCACCACCTCCCCCACCGTCTTGGCTTGTTAGCACGCCGCTCCGCTCAAAGTTTGGGGGCAGGATCGTCTACGGTATTTTACGTTGTGAACACGTTCGCGACTCCGTCTGCGAAGGCCGTGCAGTGGCGGAGGTGACTTGGGCAAGAGTCTGGTATAGCAGCGGTACGACATACAGCTCGTTCTCGACTTGCGAAGTCCACCCTCCAGAAACACCCCGGCCATACCAATAACCAAGCACAGAACAGCGCCGCTCAGGCATTCGCACCATGTTCAAGGCAGAGGGTGAACAGAACTCGACTGGGCAGTCGATCGGGAGGGCCAAGGTCTCGGTGGCTACGAGCATGATTTCTGTAGCGTGATTTCCAGCGAGCGTCCCAACGCGACTGAGTCAGAGGAATATCTCAGTAACGACATCCAGCGAGGGACTATCATTAATTAGACGATGTTGAATAATAACTGCGACTCCTGTATCAGCAAGGGCAGGAATTCCTTCAACGTGGGAATAGGGATGAGCTGGAAGGCACCGGTATACAAATTCAACACCCTCGTTTGGAGCCTCTGTACGCGTATAGCTCCTTTCCCGAGGAGCCGGATGTCATCTATCCCACAGCCATGCAGCCCAGAATCACAAAAAAACAGCATCTCACTGGGAAACACTCTTGCTTTGACACTTGAGGGCTCAGCTCGAATCAGCCATGCGGATCCCATCCTCATCTCGATAAGGATCCTACTCACCCAACGCGGCGCATCCAGTTCAGCAACCGAAACCCGCGATATCAACGCAAAACCACAGATGCACCAGAATATCAGAGCGGAGACGAGACCAGGCTTACAGATGAACTCGGTCGGGCCGTGAAATACCACGGAGACCTTGAGAGCACGCGTCGTCGGGCTTACGGCATGTTCAACTCGGCACGTGCTCAAGTCGGGACGGATTCAAACGCAACGCAAATTCGATCGATTAAATACATGTATTTGGATGAAAAGAAAGGGGAACCATGACTATCACCCGAGGCAACAAACATTCAAGCATCTAGCCACAAACCACAAGACCACAAGACCACATCCCACATTCAACCACCCATCCCAAAAAGGAAGGCGTATTAGTCAGCCTTCATCCCCTGCTGCGCCCAAAGTTGTGCAGCTGGATGAGCACCTGCTCTAGGCGATTGCGCCGCGCGGACAGTTCGTCCCGGCGGGCGACGACGCGCGGGTCCTCCGCCAACAGGCCCTTGCACACCGCCGCGGCGTTCTCGCTCCCGAGCTCGAACTCGGTGATCAGGCGCTGCTGCAGACCGCTCGAGATCGCGCGTAGGAATTTGAGGTCGATCATGTTTGGGATGTTGTCGGCGACTCGCTGGAAACGAAAATGCGTGTGAGTCCCTGAGTGGGAATGGCAGAATGCGAACAGGTCGCAGGGGGAGAACACGGACCTTGTACGCGCACTGCCCCACCACACACCCAGTGTCAACCCGGCGAGCGAGACTCGTCACACGACAGAGAAGCTAATCACGCACCTGGAAATAGCCACGGACCTCCGCCATGACCTTCAGCTCCGTCTCGTACTCGTCCGCCGGGAGGAGTTTGCTCAGGTCGTCCTCCGTCAGGCCCGGGTATCCGCTCGCAGAGAGCATCGCCAGCAGCTCCAGCGAGCCCCGTACCTCATGCTGCGTGCTGCTGCTCGACGGCAGCGGGGCGGGCACAGAGGGTGTGGGCACCGCCGGCGCAGACACCGACGGAAGCCCACCGAACGGGCTTGTCCCGTTAACACCAAACGGGGTCGCAGGCGTTTTCGTGAACGCGAATTTGACTTGTGAGTGAACACCATCAGCTAAAGATCACGACACCAAAGAGAGACAAACACACACGGATCGGGCGCGGAGCCTGCACCATCCTTGCTCTGCGCTGCCGGTCCCTTGGCCTTCTTGTGCGCTGCAGAATCGGGTACGTCCTCCCCCGCGGCGGTGCGTTTGCCGTTCCCGTTGAGCGCTCTTTCCTCCTTGTACCGGCCGTACCATTTATCCGTCGACGACTGCAGATAATGGTCGTTCTGCGTGTACGGAATGTGCTCCATCTCCAACGTCGCGATCAGAAAATCGCCGCACGTGCGGTAGTAATCGTCCGCTATGCCAGTGATGCACGCTCTGGTGAACACTGGCTCAGATCACAAATGCAGCAAAAGCGAGCCGCGCTTACTTGAGACGAGTCAGGAGTGCGTTGTAACGTCCGAAGCGTTGCTCGGCAGACAGTATAAGTAGCGCTAGCATCGAATGCTTCACTTTGTTCAAACACTCGACTGTTTTTCCCAGCCAAGGATCCTGGAACGCAACGATCAGAGACTTTTTTGCAGAAAAGGGGATGTTCCCCGGCAGTTCGCGCGTAATGGATCTGCGGAGGAGGTTGAGATTCCAAGTGACAAAACACGGATCTAACGCACTCTTCAATATGCTTGCGCACATCGGCGAGATTGACCTCTAGCTGGCGAGTGATCAGGTGGTTTGCAGCTCCCTCAGTCGAGGCCGTCAGAAGCTGCGCTTTGAATTTCGGCTGGGTGTCATGGATGGCCTTCTTGAACTCTTTGAACGCCGCGTTGCGCTCATGGATGAGAGTGCTCGTGTCGGATTGACCCTCGACGTATTTGCCGACCTCGGTGCAAAACTCGGTCACGAGATTCAGCATGTGGGTTGCGGGTTCGCCGACGACTTTTTCCGGCACCCGAGCGAGGTCCCGACGGCAGTTTTCCATGCTCGCATGCGCTACCTCGCGGATATGGGGAAGGCTAACACAGTGAGCACCCTCCAGGCAGTTGGGTATGGGCCAGTAAACAGGACACACCTCTCATTGATTATCTGCACGAGCATCGTGCTCAACGTCGCCACCAGATTATCCGTCCCAAACCGCTTCTGCTCGCCCGACGAACTCCACGGCTTGGTAGCAGCGAAGAAGGTCTTTTCCGCACGCCGGGCTTGAGCATTAGTCATGTTCTTGCTGCGCTCGTCGTCGTCGGGCTGCTTGGTGCAGTAGTACCCATGCAGCAATGGGTGCCGCCGTCCCTCGATTACGTCCAACCAAAGATCACGTGCTTTAGACGCGGAGACGAGCATGTCCGGTTTCGTCAGGACACCTGCCAGTGTCGTTCATCAGACACAGTTTGCTCGGATTGTCCCACCGGTGGTCTCACCAATGGTCCTACGTCCCTCAGGATCTTGCTGGTGCGCCAAGCGGAGTGCCTTCTGATTCTCGATGTCGTCTGAAACAGCGATGCGTGAGAATCAGTCTGAGCGACGTGAGAGACGACTTGCCCGTCATCGGGAGGGCGACCAGGATGAGACAGTTGCCTTGGATATGCGTGACAACCATGTCTTCAACAAGCTTAACCGTATCAGGCTCCGCGTTCTGGATGATGCCTGACGCGCAAAGCATCTGAACTCAGCTCGATCAAGTCATATTGCATTGGCCGACATACCTGGCAGATCGAGGAACATGAGGTCGGTCAGCTCCGAGCCTGATGGGACGTCAGACCGAGTACACGACTGGAAGGTCCGACAGCTGACCTTCGAGGTCGACGCAGACGACGTTCCGCGAGAACTCGAGCCCCGATCCAAGCTCGGTGGCCTTGGCCCGCAGGTCCTGAACATCCAGCTCCAGGATCTCGGCGAATGTCACAGACGGATGCAGCACGGCAAATTGGGCGCGGCGCAGGGCGATCTCGACTTCGTCCTTGGAGATGATGGGGTCGCCGAACTGTGCGCATTGCCCCCAGCAATCATGATCAGGACAAAGCGCGTTCCACTCGCATTTCCGCACGCACCGGATACTCCTGCACGTCAGGACGCTGGGACCCGTCCTCGTTGAACTCGAGCCGGATGGAGATGCGGCACGACCATGGCCCGCTTGTAGAGGACAGCCTGCATTCCATCGGACAGCGCGTGCATGTCCCTGCGTCCCGCGGGACTTTGATCTAAATGCAAAGGTAAGACAGGAGAGTTCGCCTCGTACACAATGTAGTGCATACCCCGGAGATGGCCTCTACCACAGACGACTTGCCTGAGCAATTCTTAAATGAGCAAATGGGCTTTCGGGAGGACGATGCACCGAGTGCTCAAGCATACCCGCGCTTTGATTCCCAATTACCACTATCCGCGGGAGGTCAAGCTCCCCTTGAGCTCCGACCGCCCGGAGCTGACTCATAAGCATCAGCAGCTCTTTGCGATACCTTGCATATTCGGTTTCTGAGAGTTGAGCGGCTTCGACCATCGCGATTGAAAGAGAGGGAGTGAAAGAAAGGGTGAAGTGGGGTATAGCCACCAAAGATCGCGATCACGTGTAGTCGCCATCGGCACGTGCATATCTAGAGATGACCGCTGGATGCTAGTCAAACAGTCCACTGGCAGGTTCTGATTGTAATGAAAGCACATAGATACATATGGATACACAGATATGGGTCAACATTGCCATGGGAGACGTTCCATGTGCGATAACGGGGGCCCGGTGATGGTACAAAGGAGGATGCCCGTGCCCTGCAGTCCAGGCATCGCTCTCTGCATCGCCTGCTCCAGATATCCAAACAGGTCTCGCACATTGCCGAGTCCAAACGTATTCCGCTGCACCAGCTTGCAGTGCACGCATCTCAGATCGATGAGACACGTGCGCTTGCCGAACGACTCGTCGAAGGGCGCGAGGATGGAGGTCTCTGGCCACCCCTTTTCTGGCCACAACGGCTCGATAACGAACACCAGCGTCAGCGTCTTCAGGGCCGGCGTGCAAGATGTCAGGCTGGAGAGCGCCGCTGGCAGCGATGACGGGAGCCGGCGGAAATCATTTACAAACACCTTGACCTCGAGGGTCTGCAGCAACGGGAAACAGGGCACTCCTCCCATCGGATTAACAAGCGCTGTGCAAGCATAAAATATCATCGGTGTATCTTCTAGGTACGATGGACGCACACACCTCCGGGATCTAGCACGAGATCGCGCAACGTCGATGCGCATGCAGCCAACAGCCGCGAGTCCGTCCCCGCATTCATCGGATCCATCCGCAATTCCAGGCGTCCCACCGCGCGGAGGCTTGGGAGCGCCTTGGGCTGCAGCAGAAGATCAACGATCGGCGCCAAGCCGCGGTCCCTGTCGAACATAATCAGGTGCGAGACGGCGCCCTCAAAACATCCATTGGGAATCAGATCCATAGAGTCGGGGTCGACAATCACTCGGTAGAACGAGATAGCTTGCACCATAGTCATCTTGAGAATGAACGCCGCTGGCACGCGCCGGAAGCTGAGCAGATGGAACCGGGTGAGGGAGGGATACGCGAGACAATCAACGAGCGCAGCCTTCGTGCTCTCGTGCAGCTCGGACCACGCCATCGAGCGCCCAGAAACGACCAATCTCTCCAGGTGGACGGTGAGCTTGAGCAGGGTGCCGACATCCTCACTGTCTGCGTTCGACATCCTGACGGTGATCCGGCGGACATGCGGTGCTATATGCGGTGAGCCTTTCAGTAGGCAGACGGCCTGCGCGGCGGAACCTCCCCGGAAGGAAGTCTTGGGATAGACGCGCAGTGATCGAAAGAGCGCGACCTGAGCTCCTGGCCGGAGGAAACGAGCAGTCAGAGCGCACGCCTTGAGCGCGCGATTGTGCCCATCTGACTTGAGAAGATCCAACACAACATCGATAAGCTCCTGGGGCAGGGAGTTCATGGCGAGGCGCGGTGCACAACTGGGATAATGCTGATGACTCAGCATCTTCCATCTTTTTATGCTCTCAGCGCGATTCTGTCATCGCAGTCCTCCGCGTTGGCCATGGATAGCTGTCTCATATAGGCACTACCGCTGTCTACACACCTCTCTAGACTCTGCCCGCAGATACAGGATTCTCTTCCTAGGGCGGGATGAATTCTCCTGCGAAATTTTGAAAGCGTTACACACAGCGCAGGGTCTGTTGGGGTAGTTTCTCCGCTCGCGATGCGTGTATTCATTATGTGCTCTAGACGTCTGGGAAATCATTTCCGTGGGGACGAATCCTGATACAAAACACGGGCCATGTGAGTACGCTCCTCGCGCGACGCGTCGAAACCGCCTGACGCCCCTCCTAGCCCCCCTCCGCACCGTCGCCCAATCCTTCTCCATCCCCGTGCACTTCATCCCACCAAGCAAACCCGAGTTCAGACACTGGACGCTCCCCGCGCCCTTCCATGCGGAGCCCTCGCTTTCCTCCTCGTCGCCGCCCGCGGACCACGTCTTGATCACCGCGTCGTTCGGGCGGATCCTCACCGCCGCCCAGCTCGACTGCTTCGCGCCTGATCACCGGCTGAACGTCCACGGCTCCGTCCTGCCTTCGCTGCGCGGTCCTGCGCCCATCCAGCACGCGATATTGTCCGGCGCACCCACGACGGGCGTGTCCATCGCGCGGATGCTGAAGAAGGGCATCGACAAGGGACCGGTTTGGGCTACATCTCAAGTGGTTAGTGAAGCATTGCACGTCGAGTTGACTTTTGACCTAATCTAAGTTCCCCCCCCCCCCCCCCCCCCCCACTTTCTAGCCTGTGCGCGAGGATGCGACATTCACGAGCTTGCGGGACGAGCTTGCGGACCATGGGGGCAAGCTGCTCGTTCAGGTCCTCCGCAACATGCTGGCCGGCACGGTGTGTGCATATAACGCTGCATATATACGTCTCGCAACTGACGCGACGCGACGCGCAACTTTCAGGCCGCAGCCACGCCGCAGCCCCCCATCTCGCCAACTCAGCACGCGCGGGCCATCACAACCGCCGATTCGATACTCGACTTCTCAACCATGACTGCAGACGATATCGTCATCCTCCACCGTGCCATTGGACACCAGGTACGCTGCGAACTTCCCCCTGTTCTCGCCCTGAGTCGCCGTGATGTTGACACTCCCTTCAGCGAGCGCTGACCACCTGGCTGCCCCTCGGCACGCGGCTCCAGCTGCACGACCCCACCGCACTATCTTCCCTGCACCCCCAACTCTCTTCCGAACTCATACTGTCCGATAAACCCGGTGCCCTGGTGTACTGCAAGCCGGCCAGAAGCCTGTTCATCCGGTGTGCCAGGGACACGGTGCTGGCTGTCCCACGAGTGAAGAAGGAGCGACGCAGCATGTTGGAGGCACGAGAGTTTTGGAACGGGGTCATTCAGAATCCGCGGATATTCGTCGACGGAGAGGTCAGACTTGTCAGGATGGGCGAAGAGATGTGGTGAAGACGCTGCATGTGGTATCTTGGGTAGACAGATGCTTTCATCGGGTTGGCCTGTCGAAAAAGCTGACAGATCTACAAAAGCCACGCTGCTGCTGGATATCTCAAACGATTGATTACGAAACGAGTCCACGCGATTTTCTACTACAGGTACACTAATAGTCTCAAAACGTCCATGTCGAACACCAGAGCGGGAACGACAAGTATTGCAAGCAAACATAGACACGGAAGGAAACGAGGGAGCCGACAAGTGCATCGACAACGTTTACTCGGTGGTCACAGACTTGGCCCTGTAAGCACCCAGTAAGCATCACATCGAGAGAAAGGTCAGGAGCACGTACAAGTTACGAGGGAAGTCCACATCGCATCCGTTCTTGACAGCCAGGTGGTAGCTGAGGAGCTGGAGGGGGATGATGTTGAGCAATCCCTGCAGACAGTCGATGGTCTTGGGCACGCGGATCGTCTTGGCGTCCTTTGAAATGCCCTCGTCACCCTCGTTACACAGAATAATCGGCTGGGCTTTGCGAGCGGTGATCTGCGCGAAGGCAGACTGCACTTTGGGATACAGCGAGTCTTGCGTCATGATAATGATCACGGGCATGTTCTCGTCAACAAGCGCGAGCGGACCGTGCTTGAGTTCGCCAGCGAGGATACCTAGCGAGGGATGAGACGGCGAAACACAAAGGGATGATGACAAACCCTCAGAGTGCATGTAGCTGATTTCCTTGATCTTGAGAGCACCCTCCAGGCAGGTGGCATGTTGGTACCCACGGCCCATGAGCAGAAGACTCTTGTTGTTAGTAATCGTGTCCGCGAGCTTCTCAAGCGAAGGGTCCAGGTCGAGCACCTTCTTGATCAGACCAGGCATGGAGTGCAGGCCGTCGATGATCTCCCGGCGACGTTGAGAGAAAGAGATGCGATCCTCAGAAAGTTGCAGGGCAATCAGAAGCAGAGCGATGTATTGAGAAGTGTAAGCCTAATGGAGGGCGAATTAGTCTCATCAATGCACTAACGGGACAAAAGAAGCGACTGACCTTGGTCGAGGCGACACCGACTTCAGGGCCGGCATTGATGTGAACACCACAGTGGGTCTCCCGAGAGAGGGTAGAGCCCACAGTGTTAACAACACCAACACAGAGCGCACCACGCTCCAGGCAGTACCGCAGCGCCAAGATGGTATCCGCCGTCTCGCCACTCTGGCTCAGGAAGACGCAAGAGTCATCACGGAAAATGGGTGTCTTCCGGTCCAAGAAGTCGCTCGCAAGCTCCACACTGACAGGAATCTCCGTCAGCTCTTCAAAGATAGCACGCGTCGCGAGGCACGAGTGATAGCTGGTGCCACACGCAATGAACACGATCCGGCGGCAACGGCGCATGATAGACAAGTACGCGCGCAGTCCTCCAAGCGTGATTTGGTGGGCATCAAAGTTGACACGCCCACGCATGGTGTTCACGACCGACTCAGGCTGCTCGTAGATCTCCTTCTGCATGAAGGTATCGAACTTGCCCTTCATGAGCGCCGCGATCTCAATCTCGAGTGTTTCGATGGAGCGCGTCGTGGCAGCCTGGGCGGGTGTCTGGTCGCCGTTTTGCCGGCGCAGACGGTGGATGTGGAGTTCGCCCTCGGCAATGTGCGCAATGTCGTCATCCTCCAGATAGAGAACACGCTTGGTGTGCTCGACGATGGCTGCCGCGTCAGACGCAATATAGAATTCAATCGGCTGAGGAAGACCATCCTCGGACATAAATGCCCGGGACTGCGTGCGAAGGACCTTGGGGTTGGCAGTAGGAGGAGCAAGCAGAGAGTTCGGCGATTGGGGCACTGATATGACCGTTCAGAAGACAGAAAGAGTCCGTGAGAAGACACGCACTGGCATCGAGGTTTGTGGGCGTGTCGTTGTCCTGACCAGCAAACTCGACGTCGACGAAATCAACCTTGAGTTTCTTGTCGGTCTTGACACCAATCAGGAGGGGAGAGCCACGACGAGCGGTGACGACCTCGTTGGGGTAGTGAGACGATTTGAAGACGAAGGCGAACGACCCCTCAAGCTCCTTGAGACCAGTGCGGATAAGCTCCATGAATGAGAGGCGTTTCTCTTGCTGGTTGTCGTAAATGTACTTGAGGAGCTTGGCGACGGCCTCAGTGTCGGTGTCGGTCTCGAACGTGTATCCTCGCTTCTGCAGAACCTGGCGCAGCTCTGCATTGTTGGTCACGATACCGTTGTGGACAACGATGAATTCGGAGTGGACATCAGAGCGCACGGGATGGCAGTTGCGCTCCGAGGGGACTCCGTGGGTGGCCCAGCGAGTGTGGGCGATCGAGACTTGAGAAACAAAGGATTTGGTGACGTCGATATCGCTGGCGGCGATCTTCTTGCGCAGCCCGGCGACCTTGCCAACCTCTTTGAAGAACACGACATCTCCCGGCTTGTCACCGTCGATACCGATGCCCGCAGAGTCGTATCCACGATACTCCTGGCGAGCCAAACCAGCGCACAGGACTTCGATAACGTCCGCACGACTCTGGATGAAGAGACACGTCAGCAAAGTTGGTCGCGAAGAGGGCGGCAATCGGAAGGAAGACGCGTTAAAAGCGAGGAACCGTATGCTACGGTTACAGGACACGTCGATTGCTCCTGAAGCCTATCGGCAATCGACGAAACCCCGCTCAGCAGGTAAGAAGTCCGTCCGAAGCATACAAGGAGCCCGATGCATGCAAAAAGGAACGCGCATCGGTGAAATCAGAGACTGACCTTCTCCTTCAAATAGCTGCAGTAACCAAAGATGCCACACATCGCGTAAAAGGTAGTGAACTAGCGGAGGTCATCGTCAGAATCGACGCGTAGACCTCCCACACAAAGGACACACCTGAGAGATAGAGAAGACGAGAGAACGATTGAGGAACGTGCAAGAGGGTAGAAGAGTGGAAAGGCCGTCGATGGTGTCGTGATTTATATGGCGCCTCGTTCTGATGACGCGCTGGCAAACAACTGATCAGGGGCGTCATGCACCGCCTTCTTCCACAATCGGAAGTATTGACCTCCCGACCCTCACTCCCACCATAGGCGCGCACAGCAATCGTCTGTCAACGACACGGCCTGTGTACGCCGCGACAGCCTGTGCTACCATGTGTCCTCCCAATTTCGGCCTATTTTGTTTTACGGTTCCGGGTAAAACCTTGGAGTCAGTCGTCGATTTTACAAGGTCAAAGCGTCTACAATCAGGCAGTGCGGACAAACGTGCGGCAGTTGCAACCATCATCGGCAACCTTTTTCCCACGATGTTGCAGCGAAGATGCTTTGTCCATGCAGGATAGCTTGCCGCTATGTCAGCGAGATTAAGACGAAACAGTTCCATCAGGGTCAAGACACTTGAGAAACGGAGCGCTCGCGAAGAATGTGCATGCCGATACGCTCTATCCCCCACCTCCATTCCACGCAATGACGAGCCTGATTGACATTGGAAACACAGCTCGGATACATCCATTTCTGTAGCATCCATACGCGGAAACGAGTTCGAAATGGAAAGTCGCAACTAGCTTACACACAGTATTGTCACACAAGTGCCATTTGACTCGTGGAGGGCGGTTCTCCGAGTGCATGATAAGACCCTGTCAGCACGGTGTCTCACGTTATCTGCCAAGGAGTGCGAGATTTGTGTTACTCTCCAAGCCATCAGATTTCAGCACTTGTGGATCCCACAAGTCAAGTATTGCTTGCCAGTGCCAGATTCCAAGCTTGGGACAGGACAGAGGCCGTATTCACGCACGTGCTATGACATCACCTCCTTCTCAGCTCGATTGAGTGTTTCGGGCCGGACCTCGAGACTGCGGCACACGACGAACCACCACCATCAACGCTATGGGCAAACTCCCCGTCATCACCCTTCCCAAGAGCATGCGCAAGCAATACATACTCACCGAGGAGCAGGCGCATATGTACGCGATGGAGAAGCTGATGAATTTCCGATGGATTTCCAAAATCTTGGCGACGTACGCTCCGGACAACTTGTCTCTGAAAGACGTCGCGCCAACGGAGGTGTCGGATTATTGCTCGGAAATCGGTGCGTCGTGCTGTTCATCTGTTTCTCAGTCCTTTCCAACTCGTCTCTCGAGGTCAATTCGCGGAGGTGGCTTACAGCGCCATTCCACCCGAATTCATCTTTGGTAATCTAGATGCCCTCATGCAACCCGCCTTCCCGCTGGAGAACTACACATCCCTCCGCGGGACCCAACTTGTCGCGTCTTTCTTCGGGCAGACGGCGCATCTGCAAGGATACGCAGCATACCGCTCCGAAACGAAGCAGCTGATCCTCGCATTCCAGGGCACCAACAGCGCCCACCAAGCTCTTTACGATATCCATGCACTGAAGCATCGACACCCCTCACGGCACGGCAAGGTGCATTCCGGGTTCTGGAGGCTGTACAAGGGTGCGAAACAGCCTGCATTGGAAGCGCTACGCAAGGGCCTGGCTCAGTATGAGGTCGAGGAGGTGGTGGTCACCGGCCACAGCATGGGTGCTGCCGTTTCCCAGCTTCTTCTAGTCGATCTCCTTCGCGATGAGAGCCTTGTCCCGATCGGTTCCATCCCGATCCGTGTGGTCGTCTTCGGGGGCCCTCGGTCAGGGACGCGCAGCCTCGTCAAGTTCTGGGTCGAGCTTGTTTCCGAGCGCCGCAAGAAGCACGGCCCAGACTCTATCGTCGAGTATGCCGTCAAGATGTACAATGACGGAGTCCCCTCCCTTCCACCGCTGGCATTTGGCTACCGGCATTTTGCCCAGACCCCATACTATTTTGTGCACGAGCGGCTCTACTGCGTCCCCGAGCCACTGTCCGAGTATGCCCTCTTCCGCATCGACCCGGCGGAAGACGCCGCCGCCAAGCCTCCATTGCATCCGCGCGGCGGACACAACTACTACAACGGGCGAGACATGGAACGCTTCGCCCGGCATATCGGCTATCTAGACAAGGCCATGAAGAAGGAGGGAGACTGGAGAGATCGATACAGAGAGCAGGTGGCCAAGCACAAGCGCGCTTGATGCTTCTTCCCTTCCACTTATCTCAACTAATGTTAAGGCCATATCACTACCTTATTGCTTGTACTTATCTGTTGTAACCTTATTTAATCATCCTGCAATTGACACATCGCGCCACTACAGCCGTGCGGCGGCCAAGAGCGGCGGGTTCGGGTGAGCCCGACGAAATGCCGACATCAAGCCGATCGCGGATCGCAAATCCCTTTTAATCGATAACAAGCAACGCCCAATATCCCCTTCCCACCTACAACCACCATGGCTCGAAAATTCTTCGTCGGCGGCAACTTCAAGATGAACCCGAACTCGGTTGCCGAGAAGAAGGCGCTTGTGGAGCTGCTCAACAAAGCTGAGCTCGACGCCTCCGTCGGTGCGTCTACCCTGTGGGCTCCAATTCATTATCAGTTTTGAACGGCAGCCAGAGGTTGTTGTGGCTCCGCCCTTCCTCTACTTGATCTCCCTCAAGGAGATCCTCCGCCCCGAAATCCAAGTCGCTGCACAGAACTGCTACTGCAAGGAGTCCGGCGCGTTCACCGGTGAAATCAGGTTCGCCAAGCTTGCTTGGGGCTCATCGCGTTCGGCTGTTCTGAACCATCGATTCCAGCCCGCTGCAGCTGAAGGACGCAGGGATTCCCTACGTTATCCTGGGTGAGCTCCGTCTCTCTCCGCAGGCTCATCCAGGGCTGATCGTCCGTTCCCACAGGACATTCTGAGCGCCGAACGCTCTTCGGCGAGACCTCAGAGATCGTGGCGGACAAAACCAAGGCTGCCCTGGCTGCCTCCCTCTCTGTCATCCTTTGCATCGGCGAGACCCTCGAGGAGCGCGAGACGGGCAAGACCACCGCGGTCTGCGCCGCCCAGCTGAAGCCGGTCATCGACACCCTCTCCGAGGCCGACTGGAGGTGCGCGCAATCGGCCCCGTCGGGGCCCAGCTGCTGAATATCTGCAGCAAGATCGTGATCGCGTACGAGCCCGTGTGGGCGATCGGCACCGGCAAGGTCGCGACCTCGGCCCAAGCGCAGGAGACGCACAGCGAGATCCGTGCCTTCCTCGCCAAGGCCGTCTCCCCCGCAGTCGCCGGGTCGATCCGCATCATCTACGGCGGAAGCGTCAACAAGGGGAACTGCAAGGACCTCGGTGAGTGCTCGTCTACTCTGTCCCCCTTCCCCTCCCTCGCGCTCAGGGGGGGTTGGGCTGCTGCGCCCCTTGCTCACATGGCTTCAGGCGCCCAGCCGGATGTGGATGGCTTCCTCGTGGGAGGCGCGTCCCTCAAGCCCGAGTTCGTCGACATCATCAACGCGACCAAGGCATAGATATCTCGCGTAAAAATCCAAAAACCAATAGATTGTATTTTGTATCCAGAAGTGCTGACCTCGCTGTACTATGCCTCATGGGAAAGTCTCCGTGGCTCGTCAGCTCATGGCCTGTGTATTGAGCGGTCGGAGACTTCCATTCAATGTCCATCATCGCGAGGCGCGACCCTGCATTGTCCATCACACAGCCACTCCTTCTGCTTGACGCTACTTTCCGTCTTCCTCGCTCGGTAATTCTGATCTCACAGGGAAAGGAACCATGCTAGACACGATTCAGATTTCCTGCTCCTTGCCAATCCGCTCATATTCATAACAACGCTCTCTCCACTACATCTTGACAAAGCCCCTGTGCTATGCTCATGCATCGAGTCTATCCGGATTCGAGACGTATCCCCCATCCCATCAGTTGCTGAGAAACGTCTAGCGTTTGCAAGCAACATGCATTGCTTAGCTATGCCTTGTGCTCTGATCCTCTTTCTTCAATTTCAGCTGCAGCAAGCATGCGTCTCAGTCCGTATCTTGCGTTTGCATGTCACTGGTAAGTGACGATACAGAAACAACTGCTGCGAGATCATGCTTATGTACATTAGCGGACAAGGACCCTCACTGGCAGCTCTCTGTGATTCTCTCTAGCGCCTTGTGCTTGTGGAGGTGGGTACAGCGTGCCCACGATCTGTCGTCTGTCCGGACCGCGCATCGCTCAGGCGGCCCCACCCTTAAAAGAATCGCGGAAGCGTTCGTAGGACTTGACAGATGGAGACTAGGACATTGCACGCGCGCCTGAAGCTGTCTGCAAGTTCCGCATATAAGCCACCGACCATCGAGTTGACTGCGATCCAGCAACCCACCCCATGCGCTGCGCTCCTCTCCTAGGATTGCCGACCCTGATCTCTCTGTCTGCTGCCCCCCGGACGATCCTAGGACGAGCGGATCCGCAGGGAATAGACGTCTCGGACTTCCAGACCTCGATCAAGTGGAGCTCAGCCAAGGTCACCGAAGGCACCAGTGCGTGCCGCGCTACCCATCCTGCGGGGCTCTCCAGGCCAGTTATGCTCTCTCAAGCTTGGACGCTGTCACTGCGCTCATACGTGTTTCCACCAGATTTGCCCTTGACTGATCTAGCAGGTATGACAAATGGCTTTTAGCTATGCTTCGTAACATTGGAGAATATCATCAGCATAGCTCATACCTCTCGATGATCCAGCTGACCGTTCTTCCGCCTCTCGTTCGGCACCGTCCAAGACACGCGCGCACAGCTTGTGCCTGAGCTGTCGGGCTTGCCGTGTGAGTCGTGTTTCGTCCAGTCCTTTCAGTCATATCAGTGATGTGGATTAATCCTGCAGCGTAATAGATGCATAATCTCACAGGCTATTAGACTCAATTTAAGCTTAGATTAATAACCTGAGGGATTATGCCTTGGATTATGGTAGGATTATTATGCAGAAAAGAGTCGAAAATTTATATCATTGGTGTATTACTTAAGGAATATGACCCCCATGCTCATCCTCCGCTTGGGCCGCAATTGGGGATATGGGCCCTTGGTAGCTCAGAAGGTGGCATTCGAGTGGACGATGCGACCGGATGACCAAGTGGACCAACAAAGGCATGTTGTCCTTGACCATCTGCACCAGCGTGGGTTCAGCGTCGTGTGACTTCGATCCAGGGTCGCATCATTCTCGACCATCGCCATGCACGACTTTGAAAGACTGTCTTTCGCAGTCCCTTGGTGATTGTATCACAAGAGTCAGAAAGTCGCTAAATCAGAGACAAGAGGTGCTAACACTCATTTGGGTCCAGGGTGAGGAAGTCTTTGAGAATCAGATTGAAGAGGTGTAGGTAGTGGTAGCAGTGAAACCAATGCTCTGGTTTTAAAGAGGATACATCGAACAAAGCGCGAGCGAATTCAGACATGATCCCATCATGTGATCATCGAATCCGAGTCAGTGACTCTTTACTCCTGCCACCATCCTCTCTCCTGCTCACTCTTCCATATATATAGCCTGATGCAAGTTCGGCAGTGTTTACAGTTTTCAATCTTCAACCCAGCGGCGGTGGTGTAGGATCCCATGAAGACCGGGTAAATGAACCAGATAGTGCAACCCGGTGCGTTTTGCTGTTCAATCATCACATGTTCACTAGTGCCGCCCAGAAGTCACTGCTTGGATCTATATTTGAATTATTCCGAGGATAGCATGCTGCAACAACTGGATCCATGGTCCGGGTGAGCCAACAACAGGACCATCCAATGCATCGGGCAAGGTACGTACTTATCCAGTGGTAGCGCAAACATCACGGTCAACTGAATATTAGTAACTCGGCATCTCTTTGAGACAATAAAAGCCTTGATAATCCTATTTATTACAATAATCTTTGTTCGCACTTTTCTATTGATAATCCTGTCCATTTATGTTTTCCATAATCAGAGGATCTTGACAATCCTGACCTATAATCCTGTAGGCTATTAATCTGAGCTTAAGGTAAGTCTATTAAGCCACTGGATTATGTAGCTATTTGACTGTAGGATTAATCCTAGCTACTGCAAGTGTTGGTCCTTTGACCCGACAAGGACCTGCAAGTACGGAACAGAGCCTCTCACCGCCCCATTCACTGGTCCGCCCACCTCAGTTACCACCGCCATCACCCGGTTGCACCCCCGCGGGGGTCCTACTGGGTACCCTCAGACGTAGCTCTGAGGGTACCCAACAGGTACCCCCCTGCGGGGCCCGCGGGGGGGATTTGGTCCATTTGGGGCAGGGGCTTATGCGGGGATCAGCAGGGGGGTGCAGGGAGGGGGGGGGTCTGTACATATCATGTGATTTATCATTGGGAGCGGGCAGGTGGGCGCGAAAAAAAATGAATCACATGACACATCCAATGGGCGGGATGGCGGCTGATGGCGGGGTAAAAAAATCACGTGATGCACCGCATGAAAATTATCAAAGATGGCTAGCAGGGGTTGGCGGGGGTTGGCGGGGGGCGCTACTGTCCCCCCGCACACCATGGCGGGCAGTGGGCGCATTATCACGTGACTTTTGGGGCACCTTTTGTGCACCATTCGGCATGATTTCGAAGGTGTTGCTTGATCCATTGCATGCTGTGGCAGACAATGGGCGCATAATCACGTGATTTTCCGCCCAAAAAATGGAAGCCTTCCCAAATCATCCTGGTATCATTTCTATAGGTAAATACACTACTTAAGCATGAATTTGAGCTTGGAAAGCCCAAAATGCACCCTGCACAATGGGACTGGTGATGCACTTGATCCCATCATTTGGCGGGGTCTGCTGCGGGGGGTGCTGCGGGGGTGCTGCGGGGGGTGCCGCAGGGGGTGCCACAGGGGGTGCCACAGGGGGTGCCGCGGGGCCCGCTGTGGGGTCAACCACAGGAGCAGGGTTAGGGGTGCATTGCATTATATTTTGATTCATCTATTCTCGCTGTGGTCATAGCATGCAGCATAATTATCCTTCATTTTGCCAGGAGTTTGGAGGCTGTGTCTGGGGGTGGTCTGCACCTACAGCCGTGTGACTCCCTGATGCTTTGGCAGGGGCTGGGATATCAAAACTGTGCAATATTACCTAAATCTTTTGGCTTGGCTTGGGGCACTGATATATATGACTTGGTTCATTTTGGCATGGTCTGCTCAAGCTGTCAGGTCAAACTAAAAATTTGAAAAATGCGCAACTTGATTTATTAGGCAAATCTCCCAAGTACATGCTCCAGGGACAGCCAACATCATCAACAAGAAATGGCTAATGTTTCTTTTCTCTGTCTGTTTGCTTCAGGTAGTCTGTCTGCGCTCAAATTTTCCTCTCCATTTGCAGCATATTCCATGGAGGTGTCATAATTCTTGATTTCCGGATTTCATACTTCTTGTCTACATAGCATTTGGGTCCTTTACTGAATCCAATAATACTGTAGACTGTTACAATGGATTGAGCAGGACATTTGTCAATTAAATCCTTGCAGGGGTTGGGGGGGTCAACCGCAGGGGGTGCCGCGGGGGGTGCCGTGGGGGTGCACAAGCATCTGCCAGCCTACCAAATGTGGATCAACTACAAAATCATTTTCCAAAGCTTCTGTACTGCAACCCAAGTGACTTCTAGGTAACCTTTACCCAATGCCAGTGAAACAACTTCACTGCTCTTGTTTCTGGGTGACAATTGATTTTATGAGCTTGAGTGTGTATGTGCGCTTCTTAGTCGGAAATGAGGCCATGTGATGAGAGTTAGGGCACCGAAACATTGTAAAATACTATATTCAACATGACCGGTGGCCCATGTCTCTTCAAACCAGCCCATATGTCATGTTTATCAAGACCCTATTTTTCGGACTCATTTCAAGTTTTTGAATGGTTCCAGGGTCCAGGGCTCTCAGAATTTGTTTCAGACACTGCCAAAGAGTATATCATTCAGCTGTATTGAATTGCTTGTGTGTAGAAAAAATATTTTTTGCCATACTCAAAGTGAACCATGTTGAACCATTGTCTACATAGGAACCTTGAGCAATGGTGAACTGTTTTCATGTTTCGATTTTTAGGTGGACAAAGGATATGAAGTACCTACATATTCAACAAGAATAGCATATGGAGACCTTATTCCGATGGTTTTCAGCTGCATAACTGTAAGAACAGTGTTAGAAGAGCAGTAAACACTTAGGTACGTCGTTTATACAGGTTCTGATTGGCTAGTGACTTGACGTGTTCCGAGCTGTCAGTTTACATAATCTTACATATAAGAAAATCACAGGAGCAAGGCACCGGTGCGGCGGGGGGTGCTAGACTGGCGGGGGTGCCAGCGGGGGTGCCACAGGGGGTGCCAGCGGGGGTGCAGGCAGTGGGTCATGGCAAGGATGTGTGCAGCCCCAGAGGTAGTAAAAGTAACCATCTATGTCTCTACAGTCTATCTTGCAAATATACGAGCTCTGAGTGCACAGAGTGTTGTATATGAAATTTGAAATTCAAATATTACCAATCTCTGACTATTGTGAGACAACTTGCTGGTGAATCCATTGTCTCATATTCCACCTAGGAATCAATTCAGGGCATGTCAAATCCACTATTACATCTGTTCATGTTGCAACTGAAGCAAACTGCTTGTAAAGTAACACAGAACAGATGAACTTCAATGAGTCCCAGACAGGAAGTGTGACATTAGGTATGTAATTAATGTGTGGTATCATCCACAGGGTAAGATTAGACTGTGCCTACAGCATGATCAGCTTACCAATGGGCATGTATATGGAATGAGCAGACAAAACAATCAATGAGTTGACAGTGGACCTGATGCAGCCCATGATGTCAGCCCACCTACCCTGCCAGCCAAAAAATGAACAAATCACACTTTCTTTTTAACTCTACATGCCTGGATTCTGCAGAAAATATTGCACAGTTTTGATATCCCAGCCCCTGCCAAAGCATCAGGGAGTCACACGGCTGTAGGTGCAGACCACCCCCAGACACAGCCTCCAAACTCCTGGCAAAATGAAGGATAATTATGCTGCATGCTATGACCACAGCGAGAATAGATGAATCAAAATATAATGCAATGCACCCCTAACCCTGCTCCTGTGGTTGACCCCACAGCGGGCCCCGCGGCACCCCCTGTGGCACCCCCTGTGGCACCCCCTGCGGCACCCCCCGCAGCACCCCCCGTGGCACCCCCCGCAGCAGACCCCGCCAAATGATGGGATCAAGTGCATCACCAGTCCCATTGTGCAGGGTGCATTTTGGGCTTTCCAAGCTCAAATTCATGCTTAAGTAGTGTATTTACCTATAGAAATGATACCAGGATGATTTGGGAAGGCTTCCATTTTTTGGGCGGAAAATCACGTGATTATGCGCCCATTGTCTGCCACAGCATGCAATGGATCAAGCAACACCTTCGAAATCATGCCGAATGGTGCACAAAAGGTGCCCCAAAAGTCACGTGATAATGCGCCCACTGCCCGCCATGGTGTGCGGGGGGACAGTAGCGCCCCCCGCCAACCCCCGCCAACCCCTGCTAGCCATCTTTGATAATTTTCATGCGGTGCATCACGTGATTTTTTTACCCCGCCATCAGCCGCCATCCCGCCCATTGGATGTGTCATGTGATTCATTTTTTTTTCGCGCCCACCTGCCCGCTCCCAATGATAAATCACATGATATGTACAGACCCCCCCCCTCCCTGCACCCCCCCTGCTGATCCCCGCATAAGCCCCTGCCCCAAATGGACCAAATCCCCCCCGCGGGCCCCGCAGGGGTGTACCTGTTGGGTACCCTCAGAGCTACGTCTGAGGGTACCCAGTAGGACCCCCGCGGGGGTGCAACCGGGTGATGGCGGTGGTAACTGAGGTGGGTCCGCCGGACGCGGTCCACGCTCACTACTGTATCGATGTGTATGTAGGCAACTGTAACGCGTAACGCACCACTTTTGCGTCGCCTAATTTGGCCCTTGTAACGTGTAACGCAGGGCCAGTCGCCAACAGGTACAAGTTGCCCAAAATAGCCCCAAAAAGAGTCCTAAAATCGCCAAAAAAAAATCGGAATTTATTCGTCTTCCTCAGGAAGATTTATGTCCTGGTCAAAAAAACAAGTCCTCAGTCAAAAGTTTTCCTTCAGAACCATAACCTCAGATGTTCTCGTTGATTCATCAGGATTGAGCAGAAGAGACTGCAGCAAGTAATTGACGTATTTGAAAAGGGTCTTCATTTTGTTATCCAGGCCCTCCGGAACACCTTTCGGCACTGCTGGTCCAATGGGCCACCCCTCAAGTCGGGGCCTTGGGGCAAAACAGTAGATCATTGGAGAATAGAGTGAAAATGTACTTGTTTTGTGCTTATTCGGTTCCTACTTGCTTCTTACTGTCAATCCGAGCCTGTGCCGACGA